GCTGGAAAAAGGCCCGAGGTGTCCAGACTAAAACATGGCACCAATGTATGGAGTCTATGAGTGTTGGTTTGAACGATGTGGGGTGATGCAGACTAGGTGGTTGGGTTCCGTGGGACAAGAGGAACCAGTGGTTGGAGACCCTAGGTGATATGGCTGAGAACCGAAGTCAGTGGCGCAGATGTATACACGCATTATCCTCATCTTGACGACGCTATACCGAATCTCACCATTTTGTCAGTCCTCTTTCCTTTCTTTTCGTACTTAATATTTCTTCTGACTGTATTCTCTTATCTTCACCCTTCACCTCACTACCTTTTTACTTGGTGTGGTGATATGAGGTGTGGCAAGTTGGAGCGTTATGCGGTAATGCCTGGTCCTATGTTGATAATGATGATGATGACTCCTCATCAGTACGCACATTTGATCCGGCCCATCGGTAGTGCAACCCAGGACTTTAAGGTTTCATGGTCAACACGTTGCCATTTAACAATTATACTCGCAGTCAGATGGTTACATCACGTCTGGAAACCACAATAGTAGAGAGATTTAGACTACCAATGAGTCGCATACTGCTAACAGTCCATTTTCTGTAGATATCACCAGATATATCATCATTCTAGTTCTACAATCAATAGGAAGTTATCTTTTAATCGAGGTACTCTTTGTTTGTTCGCCGTCGATCGACAGAAAAATTCTGTCTCTTTCGACGATATCATTTTCGAAAGCTGTAGACTGTCGTGGTTATATATGTATCAAAAACACATAACAACCGTGTATTATTGAACAATAGGGATATAGTAGCATTATTCAACCAGCTAGTGCGCTACAAGCTGAAACGAAGACTGAAAACAAGTTACGTAATAGTGGAGAATATTTATCACTCAGGTGGATGGTCTCGGTTGCATTATGTTCTCTAAGGAGCTGGGTTGTTCAATCGTCAAGAGGCTTTCATCATCTGTCTTTCTACACAGCATCATTAACTTCAGTATGAAGTCAGCTACCTAACAATATGTCTGTGTCACCGATTCACTAGCTTGGTTGTTTGATTTACATTTTAGGGATCCATTCTCTTAGTAATCAATCAGTCAGTGTATACGATACTTGTTCAAGGAATTCGCTTGTTGTAGCATTTCCACATTGTCCCATTCGATGTTGTGTGACTGTACCCATTCTACATGGATCAATGTCAATGAGGATGGGCTATTCACCAACTGGATTAGCCATTATTGTGACATTGAAGATCGCTGAAACTAGTTTCATAGTTAATCTGATCTTCTTTAAATGATGGATCCTATAGCTTGCATATGATTTCTTGCTAGAAATTTAACTGATTTATGGACTAAGCTGTTGCCGAGTAGGTAAGTTTAAGTAGTCAGTTGACACTGTTTAAGACTGTTACCATACTAGTTGGTACCACTTAACTTCATCATATTACTCCAGACTATCTAACCTTTGAAATTCAACTGACTGACTGATAGACATCTGTTTGTTTGGCATCTCATGACATAAGAGTAAGATAACGAAAAAAACACTTGGACACAATTAGACAAAACTTCAATATTACATCATACTGACAAATGTTAACTCCCTGATTCATAGTCTATATGATAACTGGAATCTATGACTTGAAACTCTCGGGATAATAGGGCTAAAAATTCATATCCATGGTGAAGGATGGTGTATATCAACTGCTAGTCTTCATTCATCTTAAACTTTTATTTCATTTCACCTCTCTTTCGATAGTCTCCTGTAATAGTTGATAACATTTCTGTGGGATTTTTTCTTCTGGTGACTTATGTCTTAGTATAATGCGAAATATGTCAACCTAAACTTTTACACCAGGGTATCATAAATTGAATTCGACATTAGAGTACACTCAGTTGACGAGTCCATCAATCGTACAGGCATTAAAATTCCTAGAAATGTTCCCTTCTCAGTATTGTTTAGGTAGTCTGAAATAATCTTGGTTATGAGTTGGTTTGTTAAATCGTGAAGAGGCTTTCATCGTCTACCTTTCTACACGACATTATTAACTTTATTACGAAGTCAGTTACCTGTCAATATTTCTCCGTTATCAATTCAGTAGGTTGGATTCACCAACTGGTTTTCGTGTGATTGGTTGTCTCGTTGACCTACTGTACAGATTTTCCTGTTGGCTATTCCTTTCCTCTCCTCGCCTCTCCTCTCCTTTCTGTCGTTTATCATTTTTTTCATTGCTTAATAGATCGAGCCTGATTAATTGCTGACTGATCTGAATGTCAAGGTTCTAGGAATTCTCATATGATATTCTTTGTGTTTCCTCTCTCCATTCAACATTTCTACATTGTCAAAATTCAATTCTCGTTCATATTTGCTATCCAAGTGGATTGAGTGATGAGATGTATAGTTTAAGATGAATTTATTGATTTGTGAGGCATCCTAAAGGAATTTCGAGTGATTTCAGTAAACTTGTCGTGATCTCTGGTATATACTTGAAGTATGAGCACGAATTGAATTTTGATAATGTAGAAATCATGGATGGAGACAGACAGCACAAACAATATCAGAGAATTCTTTGATTGACATTCAAGTCAGTCAGTCAATCAGTAATCCATAGATGTAGGATCAACTCCGGTGGGTCAGTTGCCGATGAGATTTCTGCACGGATACAAAAGGCTCGATTGGCTTTTGCCAATTTGCGCCACCTATGGCGCCGCCGTGATATTCGTTTGTCTATTAAGGGTCGTGTGTACTGCACAGCAGTCCTCTCTGTTCTACTATATGGTTGTGAAACATGGCCATTGAAAGTGGAGGATACAAAAAGGCTTCAGGTGTTTGACCACCGTTGCCTTCGTAGTATAGGACGTATTCCGTGGTGTCACCACATGAGTAATGCAGAAGTTAGGTGTAGAGTTTTAGGGAGAAGAGGTAAGTCAGTTGACGAGGTTGTGAACCTTCATCGACTGAGATGGTTGCGACACGTACTACGTATGTCTAGTCACCGATTGCCTCGTCACACAATGTTGGCTGAGGTGGGTCCAGGCTGGAAAAAGTGCCCGAGGTGTCCAGACTAAAACATGGCACCAATGTATGAAGTCTATGACTGTTGGTTTAAGCCATGTGGGGTGATGCAGACTAGGTGGTTGGGTCCGTGGGACAAGAGGAACCAGTGGTTGGAGACCCTAGGTGATATGGCTGAGAACCGATGTGAGTGGCGCAGATGTATACACACATTATCCTCATCTTGAACGCTATACCGAATCTCACCATTTTGTCACTCCTCTTTCCTTTCTTCTCGTACTTTATATTTCTTTTGACTGCATTCTCTTATCTTCACCCTTCACCTCACTACCTTTTTACTTGATGAACTGATATGAGGTGTGGCAAGTTGGAGCGTTACGCAGTAATGCCTGTTCCTATGTTGATAATGATGATGATGAATCCATAGATGTATACACTATGCGGTCTCTCAATGACACAACAATCAGAGGAAAGAACCAATCACACGAAAACGAATTGATGAGAGTAAGCTACTGAATGGCTGACATAGAGATATTGAAAGGTAGCTGACTTCATATTGAAGTAAGCGCTGTTGATGATGTCGTGTAAAAAGATGAAAGCGTCTTGATGATTAAAAAGCCCAGCTCCAAGTGTCGTATGGTAATCTCTTAGAAAATGGATATCATATGGGAAAGACGGTGAGTTTTTGTGGTGTGAAACGCGACTGGGTTAACTGAGTTTCTAACTGTCGACAATGTACGCCTTTTGATTGACTCTGTTAACGATACTGAAGGATCACTCATGGGGAGTAGTATATGTACAGAGTTGACTAAATGTTCTCCTCTCGATAATAGTACAGAGGTTCCTTTGAAAAGTGCAAGTCAATTTGTAGACAAACATTTAGATGATCCAATGCATCAGCTTGGCGTTAACACAACTTGAAACCAACTGCTAACTAGAGATGGTAATCTCTAGCTGATTCTTCAGGATCTCTACTGTCGTATCACCTATGAAACTGACGTCCATAGATAAATTTCGTATAAATTGTCGTCGATTGTATCACTCCTACAGATTTCTCTAATTGTTGATGATGAAGACATAATTCTATGATGATCTTTCAATGACTCATTTTCATCATCATACCGTAAAATATCTATTGCTTATTTGTTAGTTCAAGGTCATCGAGAATGTTCAATTCAAGGTCATTGAAAAATTCTTTTTACGATTACATAAATAAACAAGAATCAATGTAAAATTAGTGTTTGAACGTACCTCTTTTGATCAGATTTAAACTACTGGATTGCATAAACTTCTACTATGTTGAGTTAGCGATTAAACAGTCTAGGGTTTTTATATGATACCGTCGTTGATTGGACCGAATTGATCAGTCCCTATTAGCATATAGGCTCCTGTGCGAATGCCTCGATATTGCCAACAATCTAATTATAGATCAATTAGGTCCAATCAACGACGGTATCATATAAAAAACCCTATACTAAAAACTTAAACCCGTCGCACAAGAAGTGGCTATCGTGTTTCGGTGGTGTAGTGGATAACGCGCTGGCGTTTGAAGCGATCGCTCCCGAGTCGGAACCAATTGTAAAAGAGCAGATGAATCGATGTACACGTATGAAGGTGTTATAAAGGGGGTAGTTCATCTTTACACATCCCTTGAATGACTTTTTGTCTTGAGTAAACAATACAATGTGCTTTACATAATCGATTGTTCAGTATCTTTGCTAATAATGTATTTCCCTTCTATGCAATATTCATAAATAGTTTCCAATACTGTTTAGTTTTCACATAATACCGTGCTACGAAGATATATCCATATGACATATTTCATTTTTAGTAGGTGGTTTATGTATGTCACTATATTTCGGTGTATGTATATGTCTGCGTGTATGCCTGGATGTTGCTATGCACTTTGATTATCCTTGAATAGTTACAAGAGTTGAACAATTCAAATATCATTTGCCTCGCTAACAATTTTTTTTTTCTGTGGATATTTTATACTATAGAACAATCCTCTGAAGTTGCTTCGCCTATATCGTCTGTTACTGTACCACCTCCAAGACTATGTACACCTGATACTGAAGTTGATGAAGAATTCAATTTTCCACCACCAGAAGAAAATCAACCAATTATGGTTAGTAAATTGACTATTTTCCCTCTTTGTTTTCAGAAGAAGAAAAGAAGTCTATGTAACCAGTAACCATTGCTTCAAATTCCAATGGGTTATTGACTAGATTATTATTGCGCTACAGCTCTCTGTTACTATGAATGGATTGGTTCATGTAATTTTCTTTTTTTTTTTAACCCTGGATCAAATCTATCCAACTCTGTTAGGATATGCTCATCTATATGAATCACTGCATATTATCTGATTGTAGATTATGCTGTAAGGAGACTTGATGGTAACCATCGTAACTATTGTGAATCATTTGCCTAGTGGATAACATGCTCTGTCATTTGAAGCGATGCATAACCACTATCAAGCAAATCACAACATAATCAATAATCAAGCAATGTGTTGGAGGGGGAAGGTTTTGGGTGGTCACAACTTGAACTCTCAACTTGGATATAGATACAATCAGTCAGACTGTTGGAATTACTGAGCCATGATCCAAGCTGCCACATCCCACACGTTTAAACATATCAGACGAGAATGCTACATTAATCAAGTTCATATGAAGATTTTGAGCAATATGGCGTAAAATAATCAGCTATAATGTAACATATGAACATAGACGATTTTATCAACTGCCTCACTTCTTCCGCATACAATAATTCTGGTATACAAATGAGATGATTTCAAGACATACAGATTGTGTGATGAAGACAACGATGATTGGACACCTGATGCCATCTTATTTCTACTTTTAGTGGTCATGTTTCACAATGAACTCCTGACAGTACACCCAACTCTTAATAGACAATTAGATATTCGCTGCGATAAACGACACTCAAGCGTTTTACATCTGTGCATATGTTTTATAAGTCATTGGCTTACCAGAGTTGATGCAACTTGACAGGTCAGTCAAGATAGTCACCGTACTCAAAACATTTCTCTCCCTTTTAATGAACGAGGCATTACCGAAGACCATGCCTGGGGAACCTATCAGTGATGAGAAATTTCACTTCACTCGAAGAAGGGCAGTCGATGAAGTTAATTGAACATGAGTTACTCATAATGAACCACCGTTTATCTTGACGTTCGAAGAAGGCTCAATGTATTCAAACCAAGATGTTCAGCTTTCTTGATACAACAAGAATCAATAGTTGAAAACGCTTAGGAAAGTTCTATGTACTTTTTGTCAGAAAATTCTACTTCTATGGTAAAGTTGAATAAGAATGGAGACATTGAACATCCTTGATGACTGCCACTTCCTATAAACAAGTCATCTGATAACTCATGTCTTTGAAGTAAAGACAGGAGTAGGACAACGTTGCCTACTATCACCGATCATCTTCCTGATTGTGATCGACTGAAATGCATCCTGCAACAAACGGTGAGGAGCGACAAGATAGGCATACACTCGCAGTCTCACCGATGAAAAGACCCTACACAATTTGCATATCACCAACGATGATGATTCATGTCTAATGTCATGTCCCACAAACTCGAACATCTACAGACGAAAATCAACAAGTTGACAGAACAGGCGAGGCAGCCAACACGGCACTCCCTTCAGGTTGAAGTAGAGAAGACAGAGGTGATGAAGATACTCGAACAACAACAACAATCATCATCAACAGGAGAAATCTAAACAAAGTTGTCACTTTCACCTATCTACGTACCTAGACAGCATCCTTTCAACTACAGGCGGCACAGTCACACTCACAGAAGAGGACGTCAAACCCACGATCGGAAAGATAGCCCTCACTTCATCTACCTGAAATCGGTGTGGAGATCTACTCTACTCCACTCAATATGTGGAACAACATCCGCATTTTCAACACTAATCCAGTAGATCTCCACACCGATTTCAGGTAGATGAAGTGAGGGCTATCTTTCCAATCATGGGTTTGACATCCTCTTCTGTGCATGTGTCTATGCCGCCTGTAGTTGAAAGGATGCTGTCTAGGTACGTAGATAGGTGAAAGTGACAACTTTGTTTAGATTTCTCCTGTTGATGATGATTGTTGTTGTTGTTCGAGTATCTTCATCACCTCTGTCTTCTCTACTTCAACCTGAAGGGAGTGCCGTGTTGGCTGCCTCGCCTGTTCTGTCAACTTGTTGATTTTCGTCTGTAGATGTTCGAGTTTGTGGGACATGACATTAGACATGAATCATCATCGTTGGTGATATGCAAATTGTGTAGGGTCTTTTCATCGGTGAGACTGCGAGTGTATGCCTATCTTGTCGCTCCTCACCGTTTGTTGCAGGATGCAGTTCAGTCGATCACAATCAGGAAGATGATCGGTGATAGTAGGCAACGTTGTCTTCACTTGAAATCTACCACTGAGTGAATCGCTTGCAGTGTAGTGTCATATAGCATGTAGTTGTTGAATGAAGTTGATATAGATTTGTACTACTCCGTAGTTTTGAAGCAGCTGATAAATTACTTCTTGGTGGACGTTGTTAAAGGCCTTTTCAAAATCGATCAAGTTCGTGTGGATTGTTGACTGCCATTCTACGCTCTATTCTATGGTGATGATTTGTTTTTTTCTCCAAATTGGCCTGTTCCGATAGTAATTTTGAACGTTATGATTCCTTGTCATTTCTTACAGAGACTTAGGTCGCCTTTCTTTAAAGTTTGACAAGGTAATCCTTTTGCAATCTGCATATACCTTTCCTTTCTTTCCTTAAAACTTATGGAATATTACTATTGTTAGTATTTGTGTTGATTTGATTGGTTGAGACTAATTCGAAGAATCTAGGTAGGCGCAAACTTCATCCTAATTAAGACTCGTCAGCTGAATATACCTTCACGCCAGTCAGTGATGTTGTTCCCTATGAATATCGAACCTCATACCGATCTTTACAAACGCCAAAGCGTTATCCGCTATATCACAAAAGAATGATAATCACTTGTTGTACAATGGGTCGTAGTTATTACCATTTATTGGCATACTTGTAATTCTCCGTTGTTTTTCTGGATTGGATTGTTGTTGTTATTATTATCCTTATAGCAATTATTATTATTATTATTATTATTCGTTATGGTTAATATTATTCATAGTTTCAATTGTTGACGTTTCTATATTATAGGCAGCTGCACATGCATTACATCATGAAACTCGATTATGGTCAAGTCGTGACAATGAATTGATTGCAGCAACTAAACGTATGGCTGCTTTAATGGCTCAACTTAGTCAAATTGTTCGGTAAGTAAATATCTATTTATTGTTTATAAGATTTTTCGTTGTTGTATTGTTCTACTGTTTTTCTTAAAGGTTTCATATACATTATCAGTATATCTGGAAGTTATTCCTTAGGCAATCTGTCATCATCATCATCCTGGAGATTGATAAATCATAGGTTCGAATCCCCATGGTATAGACAATGAAATAGTGTCATTAGCTCATGTTATATGACGTATAATTTATTGCCTGGTGTATAAATATGCACATATGACTATTGGGTGATGCAACAATATGTTATATAAGTGATGGATAGTGGCTAGGAGTGGAATGCAGAATGTGCACTCCTCCCCATTTAGGACTCGTCAGCTAGATGTACCCGCTTCCCAGTGATCGATGTTGTCTCCATGGGAACTTGAAGGCGACCGCTTCAAACGCCAGAGCGTTATCTACTATAGCACCGAGCCACGATAGCCGCTTCTTGTGCGACGGGTATAGTTTCAGTGTTATTGCTTGTATGACACCTTCGTTGATTGGACCGAATTGATCAGTCTCTATTGGCATATGGGCTCCTGTGCAGATGTCTCGATATTGCCTGTGTTTTAATTATCTAATTATATAATTATCACGAGTCACAAATAGAATGAAGTACTCAACGTAGGTTCCACTTCTAGCTACTACCAATGATTACCATTCATAACTAAAACAGCCAATATCGAGGCATCCGCACGGGATCCCATATGCCAACAGAGATTGATCGATTCGGTCCAATCAGCGACGGTGTAATACAAGCAATAACACTATTATTATTATTATTATTTTAATTTTTCCCTTGGGTTCCTGGTGGAACATAGGACTTCAGTAGCACGCCTCCAGTGCACTCTGTTCTCTGCAGTCTTTTGAACCTGGCTCCACGACTGCCCACAAGCATTCATTTCCTCCTCACATGATCTGGTCCTTGTCAACCTCAGCTGGGACTCTCAACTTATTTCCCCTCTGGGATTCACTCTAGCAACTGGCCTGACGCGTGATGTCCCCAGTCGGCCTGTATGCATGATCCATCTCCATTTCCTTCCACTGCATATTTGTTGAGTGATAGGTTCTTGGTTGGTTTGTCACCAGCTAGAGTTCCTTTTTGCTTATTCTTTCTAGCCATCTGATCTGCTTTTGAGTATCGAGCGTAGGCAGTTGTTGATGAATATCTGTAGTTTGTTGGAAATGCTTTTCGTACTGCGCCAAGTTTCTGAACTATATAGCAGCACTGACTTGACTGGCATTAGTGTTGAAAATCCAGATGTTGTCCTTTGTGCTGAGTGCAGTAGATCTCCACACTGATTTCAGATTAGTGAAAGCCTGTCTTGCTGTCTTTCCAATCCTGACTGCTTTGACATCCTCGTGTGTGCGTGTGCTGCCTGTAGTTGAAACAGTGCTGCCTAGGTGGGTAGGTGAAAGAGGCTACTTCTTTTACGTTTTTCCCATTGATAGTGATTGGAGTTTGTTGTTGTTGGTTGGGTATCTTCATCACCTCTGTCTTCTCTACATTCAGTTGAAGTCTCATCTTTCTTCGCTGCCCTGCCCTGCCCTGCCTCTTCTGTCAACTTGTTAGTTTTCGCCTGTAGATCTTCAAGTTTGTACGACATTAGACACAAGTTATCGGCGAATTCCAAATCTTCTAGGATCTTTTTCCTGGTCCAGCGTATTCCCCTCTTCTTGTTCGTGACTGTTTGTTGTATGATCCATTCGACCACAATCAGAAATATCATGGGTGATAGTAGGTGGCAACCTTATCTTACTTCTGTCTTCACTTTAAAGGCATCACTGAGCTTTCCATTGTGGATCACTTGGCATTTGGCGTCTTCATATAGTTGTTGAATGAGGTTGATAAAGATTTGTGACACTCCGTAGTATTGTAGCAGCTGCCTGCCAAATTACTTCTCGATCGTTGCCTCGAGCAAAGGCTTTTTCAAAGTCGATGAAATAAATATAAAACTGTAAATCAAACGTTGGGGGTATGTGTGTTAAGGACGGAATTATCAGAAGATTTGGAACTAGTCATTCCAGACTCGAAGATACAAAGAACAGCGACTGTACAGTCTTCACTGATCCTAATTCTATATCATATATTCTTCGAGACATTATCTAGGGAAGAAATTGTAGACTATTCAATAAACGGTAATCGAAAACAAATATACTTTGTTAGCATCTCAAAAACCTTATACTTCAATAGATGAGGTTTAACAATACCCCCATAGTTATCTATTTTCAATCGTTCAAGCTAACAGTCAGTTTCTTAAAAAATGCCTGATGGATAAACATAATGACGATTATTTTGGTTGTGTTAACCTGTTATCAGATGATACGACAACCTTCATTTTTTTTTCTTCTACGACTAAAGGCATCATTGGAACTGATTCTATAAAAAACTGCTTTTCTGTCAGTTTTTATCATTTAAATGTTAGTATATCTCTTCGTGCCCCCCCCCTCGTATTGTTGGAACATGAAAAATTCTCCATTTTTCTGCTTTCATTTGTTTAATGTTTTAAGAAGTACTTTTTTAAGAGGGTCATATACTGGCGCGCATTTATGAATTCTTTTCAACACCTGTGGTTTTTCTAATCAACAATAAAATAAACACCCAAAAAAAAACGTCACAGTAGCATGACAATGAATTGTTAAACACACACACACACACTTTCCCCTTCATTACCATTTAAGGCCACCAGATTCTCTAACAACAATACTATCCCAAGTTGTTATTCATCGAAGACTGACATCAGTTGGAGGAACAAAGGAAACCTGGGAGCACTGGACAACTGTTTCGTCCTACTATGGGACTCCTCAGCAGTGCGCACCCACGACCCCACCAGCAAGGATCGAACCCGCGATCTTCAGTCAAAGCCTAAAGGCCATGAGGACAAATACTCAGCGATGACATTGGGTGGCGGTTTGCGCTATATCGTGAGCTAACAGAAATTGGAAATATGGAGCATTGGATTCTGACCCAGTGGCTCAATGGTAACGTGCTGGTCGCGGAACCTGAAGGTCGCGGGTTTGATCCCTGCTGGTAGGGTCGTGGGTGCGCACTGCTGAGGAGTCCCATACTAGGAGGAAACAGCTGTCCAGTGCTCCCAGGTTTCCTTTGTTCCTCCAACTGATGTCAGTCTTCGATGAATAACAACTTGAAATATTTCCAAATCTCCACAACCCCCTCAAAATTTAACAATACTATCCTTTTTAACGTTGCTGAGTTGTTGCATCGGTTAGTATTGGCAAGTGAGTTTGTACACAATACCTCATTTTTGTCAGTAATTTCATTATGATGTATCGTAAAGGGTTAGTAGATAAAGCAAAGCTTCTGGTGTTTGAAGTGATCTATCCTGAGTTTGAGGATAAAATCACTCACTTGAAAGCATGAATATCTGACTGATGAGTCCCAAAATGGGACGAAACACTAATGAACCCGCTCAAGTACTCATAAACTCGCTTCATAAAACAGTCACTCAATACTTTGTAGATGATTTGACTTCAATCAAAAAAATTTTTTTTCCTTTCTCTTTAGTGGTGAATATGGGACAAAAAAAGATTTGATCAATGTTTCAATGGCGATTGCAGAAGCTTCATTGGATGTGAATCAATGCGCTAAAGTATTAGCTAAAGAGTGTACAGATCGTCGTATACGTTCAGTAAGTGTGCTTGTCTGTGCGTTTTTTTTATGTATGTATGTATGACAATTTGAATTTTCAGAGGTTTGTGAGGATTTAGAGATATTTCAAGTTGTTATTCATTGTAGACTGACATCAATTGGAGGAACAACGGAAACTTGAAAGTATTGGACAGCTGACAACTGACAGAAGTTGGAAATATGGACCATTGGATCCCGACCTCCTAGTGGTTAGCTCAATGGTAACCTGCTGGTCACAGAACTTGAAGGTGGGGTGGGGTCATAGGTGCGCAGTGCTGAAGAGTCGCATATTAGGACGAAATAGCTGCATAATGTTCCTCCAAATGATGCCAATCTGTGATGAATACTGACTAAAAAAGTCTCTAAATCCCCACTAACCCTTCAAAATTCAATTGAACTGGTGCTCGTTAGTGACTAGCTTCGAGAGGTGATTCCGAAATTCCTGTGAGACGTCGTAAACAGTAGGGCAGACCTGATGGCCGTCAGGACAGATACTTAAGGATGACATTTGGTTGCGGTCGCGCTGTGTCGTGAAGGCACAGCAGTTTGAAATATGGATCGCTATATCCCGACAAAGTGACTCAATGGTAATGTACTGGCCACACCTTCGTCCCTCCCTGAAGAGTCGAATACTAGAACGAAACTGCTGTCCAGTCCTCCCAGGTTTCCCTTGTCCTTCCAACTGGTGTCAGTCTACGATGAATACATTTGAATTTTACAAGATTCTTTAACAGCCTGCTTACCCTGGAAGTCTGGAAACCTATTGCATTCAATATATGAATTGGATAGCGTTCTATTGCAGTCCTGAGTAGTGACTTTAATTCTACAGTAAGTGGCACGTATTGTACGAAAATGCGCTATACTATCCGGCAGCTTAGACCTGAGTAGATGGAATGGGGTTGAACTTTTGACTAGTTAGAAATAGACTGAGTGTCTAAACTAATAAGTTAAAGTCGAAGTTGTAAACATTCAACGACTTTAATGTCTAAAGCATATATGTTCAACATGCTTAGTTATTGTCTGAAGTAGGAATAGGTTGGAAGAAAGTCAATGGTGTTGAACCCAGGCACTTTATCAATCCACTAAGTCTTTGATTATTACAGATGTATACTCTATCTGTCTGTCTCCTTCAGGTAATATGACACATCAATATTTGAAGATGCTTAGTGAGATGTTACTTGAAATGACTAACTGACAGTGAAAAAATCGCTGTACATACTCGCTACACCTTGCTACCCTTCACAGAAGTCGAAATAATCAAGCCTTGTAAAATGTCAATAAGTGAATACATTTGCATCATTGTAACAGTTTTTAAGCCATTGATTTTTATCGTCTTCAACACCTTAAAAAGTCAGGTTGTCTACATTTCTCTGCACCGGTCACATTAACAGTCAGAGACTCATCTACTGGTGTCAAATTTTGGTCTGATACATCCAGGTAGATACGCAGTGACTCAGCCATACGCCCAGTACATGTCCAAGATGACTTACCAATCTTGCCTAATATCCTTCATTTTACCTCAATATTACTCACACAATGATTCTATCAAGGAGATGCTTGCCATCAAACACCTTAACCGCTTCGTGTTTTCTACTTTCGATGGCCATGTCACACAGAATGAACTGCATCTCAGTATATTCGTCTTTTTATAGATTGTCGGATATCTCGACAGTAGTCCGCAATACATGATGGTAGTTGACAAATCTCAAACGGGCATTTTATATCGGAGCTGAGATTTCATCAACAACCCCTTTTGAGCTGATGCAACTCATTGAGTAAGTGAGGTGATCGACACATTCTATCACTGAACTGGTAGTACTTGCAGTCGACTAGTCTTAGAACATCACTTTACATTTGACAGGTGCCAACGATATGCATGTCAGTCAAACATCTTCAAATTTGTGCTGAACACATTCACAAGACCGTGCATTGTGTCAGAGTCTTAACCTAGCAGGATAATATCACCTGCGTACTGGAAGTCAAGCAGATAACCAACAGGGTGTTGGTCAATTCCTTCTGAGTCAGAAGTACCTACGGTTACATCCATTAGTACGTCTACGACGAAATTAAATGCAGACACAGTGACATTGAACACCCCTCCTCAGCATCAACGGTTGTCGTTAATTCACATCATAACACACTCTCTAAGCCACTGCGTTCGAGTAGAGAGCTTTGATAAGCATTATACACCTGCTCGGTACTCCCTTCACAGTCAGACACTATCACAACACTATGCAGTCGACAAAGTGAATGTCGCCTTCAGGTCAAGAAATATGTTGAGCGTCGGCCATTAGCTGGTCAGTATGCCTATGTTCGGGAACCTATCAGAGGGCGAAATAGTGATTGATACACCCTCGAGCAGGTCTAAAACTTGTCTGAATTTATCGAGTTTGCTGTTATTGAGCTTCAGTTAGGCATCGAATAACTATGGACATGAGGATCTTGGACACAATGATTAGTGTTTTAATTGAATTATAAACTTACGTATATTAGTCTAGATTCAAAGCATAAGGTACACATTTATTCGCTCCATCAGTCTTTTTCTTAAACTTATTCATTGGAACGTCCTACTGGACATCTCTTAAACTGTATGAGATGCATACACGAGTTTCTTTAACGTGGTGCACTCAACACAGGGATGAATCAACGTGGTGTTTGACAAATACACAAGTGCATCGCTTACAACTATCCCACTTCATCTTGGGTATTGTAATTGATTTCGAGAGTTATCATGTGAGTAGATAACAACTAGTGATATTTACCATGGATGCCCATTGTCACTTCTCCCATTTAACTCCATTATAGATATAGTAATGGATATAATCCTATGTAAGTCTGAATCAACAGGGATTGACCTACTCCCAGTAGGTCATCAGGTTTATTTCCAGTATGCAAACGATATTGTCCTGCTAGGTGAAGACGCTGAGGTAATGCAGGATCTTGTGGACGCGTTAAACATAAATCAGAGTATGTTTGGCTGGTATGTTTCGCACTGGACTAGTCTGCTTCAAGTACTCTCAGTTTAATGATAGAGAGTTTCATCAACTCGAACGCTTTGACGGGTTACTGATGAATTCTCAGCTAAGATAGAGAAAGCCTGTTTGGCATTTGCCGACTTGCATCATCTGTGGCGACGACTAGTGAGATATCCGACCATCTATCAAACGACGAGTATACTGCTCTGCAATTCATTCTGTCCTGTTATACGGTTGAGACATAGCCATCGAAATTAGACTACGTGAAGCGGTTACAAGGTTTTGATCATAGGTGTCTTCATGGAATCACTGTATGAGCGACGTTAAGGTCAGGTGGAAGATATTAGACAAGACAGGCAAGTCGATTGATGAGGTTGTGTGCCATGTTCGGATGAGATGGCTTGGTCATGTGCTGCGTATACCGATTTATTCTCTACCTCGACACGCCATTGTAAGTAGAATTGGATTTGCTTGGGAGAGGGTTCAGAGTGGACAGATTAAGACGTACTATCAGTAGATGAAGTCTCTTACTGTTTATTTGAGTCTTGTTGAAAAATATAGACTTCCTGTCTGGTGCCCTCGAGATGACAACAATCAATGATTGAGTACTCTTGGCGATATCGCTGGAAATCGGTCGCAGTGGCATCTTCTAAAGCTTAAATACTGGTACTAACCGTCATCTTCAGATTGTTTATTCTTGCACACAACTTTGTCCAATTTGAAATGACTCTTCTTCTATCCATTTGTTCTTTGTATACTACTGTGAACTGTATCAACTTGATATAATTCACGTTTGTGTGTATGAGTTTCGAATTGGTATCTGTGTGTAAAACTATGGAACTTTTTACTAATTTAATCTGTCTTTTATTCTATCATAATGAACGGCACTCAATAATTCGACGATAGAACTACCTGATTTCTTGCACTTTAGAATCACATGTTGTTGTAGACAATAGGACATAATATAGCGACTTGGAATGCTGTTTACACAGAGCTACTTTCATACATTATATAATAATCTCACTAACAATTCCATCTTCAAGGAGTACTTTTCACCAATGAGTGGATATTTTATAATCTATTGAAAAAGAATAGGAAGTTTATTGATCGAAAACTAACTAATGAAACTGTTTACGCTCATCAGATTACGTAATCTTTTATCATTCCATATCGTTGTGATTATCACCTCAAATTCTAATGTCTTGATAAACTATTTTTGTTTTACGCATAATGAATCAATCAACAAGTAATTATTCTGAAGCACATAAAAGAAGCGCTAATAATTAATAATTATCCTCTATAGTTTATTCAGAAATTTATTTGAAACGAAATGATAACAGTTAACAAGAGTAGGAATGAGTTCATAGCCTCTATTGTGTTATCCTATAAGAAAGGAACATCAAAATCTTTAGGTAGGATTGTGAACTGGGGCGGCATTTGAACTTACAAACTCACTCAGAGATAAACTTTCCCCGGGTGGCTTAGGTTTCGATAAAACCAATTAAGTAAAATAATCTAATCTATTAAATTCCATGTAATGACTATGAGTTAGGTCAAGTATATAGGTCAAACTAGCCAGTTGGGGTCAATTAGATTAAGGGAACATAGAATCTCTCTAAATATAGAGTGACATACCTGAATAAGATCACTGTACTTGAGTTCAATTTAACTAGGTAGGTAGGTAGGTAGGTAGGTAGGTAGGTAGGTAGGTGGGTAGGTGGGTAGGTGGGTAGGTAGGTAGGTAGGTAGGTAATCAGATGTCAGAAGTATCGTATGATTATATTGATATGGTTATAAGCAGTAATCCTGTATCACTGTGTGCTATAAATCGAATATGGAATTAAATTCTACAACAATCCCAAGTATTCCCCGTAGATAGGTAGGAAATAGGAATTTCCTACTGTTTAGTTAAATTGATTCTGTTATATTCATGTTTCTGTGGAAATCTTTAAAAAAAAATGATCATATCAGACAAGACGACTATCTGTTATGTCTCTAGTCTTTCATCTGAGCTGTGTATGACAAGTGTACATTTCTTAAACACAACTTTCTTTCAATGGAAATCGAAGAGGGTTTAGAGACTATAGGTAACTTATTGTTTGATTTTGGAACGTGAAACTTTAGCTCCTATTGGTCTAGACAATCGACCTTCAATCAAGAGGTCGGTCACTCTATGTTCTAAGGTCTAGAAAGCCGGATTATTAGGTGTCGACAAGCCTTATACAATAAGTGTCGCTCATCGTCTAGTGTACGATGATTGTTTCTTATCGTCTGAGGGACCACACTCACACTGTCGATACCTGTCTACACACCATTAGTTAGAGATTTCATCGACGTCATATCGTCGTTTGGCCACTCTATTCTCATTTAGTCCATCTTCTCCTAGGACTGCATGTTCAGGTAGGCGGTGCCTCGATTTGCGAGACATATATTCCAGCCACCTCATAGATTAGCTTTCATCAGTATAATATACTACGCTTAGCTATTTAGTGGAATAGATCACAGCGAACTAAAGTTCACTCAGTCACTAGAACTACTTATCATTTGCTAACGATTGGATATATTAATCATTCTTAACTTCGAGAACATCGCAGCGCTATTTGCAATAGGCATACCTTATTTCACAACAAGATTATGTAGTAATAATAGAAAGTCTACCTAGTTTGTTTAATAACTGACTACATTCATGTGCTTATATATGTATATATATGATTATTATTTGTTTTTCTCTTTCTTAGAATCTCCTACATTTAAGTGATCGTATTCTAACTATTGGAAATCAATTGAAAATTCTATCAACTGTCAAAGCAACTATGCTTGGTACACAAGGTATATATCATTTCATTGTTATTGTTGTCATACTTATTGTTCACAAGATGACCTTGATTTGTTTTTGTTAGTTAAATGAAGTGTACTCCTATCAAGTTGATTCAATCTCTTTATATTACTACGTGTAAAGTAGCATTTCTCATATTGTTCATCTTTAATGTTGTTTACAGTATGTTGATATGTTAAAAATATTTGACTAACAAATGTATATTTAGAGAGACACTCACAGAGAGAATCAAAGAGTGTATGTGTGTTTGTCTATACGATGATGATGATGATGAGAATAAGTATAAAGTGATGAATCTATAAATTAGATATGACACAATTTCTAATGCTACTGTTCAGCTTCATCTAATTCTATATTCCTATATTTGTTTAATCAATGTTTCAATATCATCCTAGAAATTCTTATCACAGTCAAGTTAATAAGTTCTAAGTCTATTTCTATGATCAACGTGTATGATTCGTTGAAATGAAAATGCATTACGTTTATATTATAAGTAGGCTTGAATATGATTGGTTAATCTTTGTCAATGTATATGAAATACATTTTCCAATTAGCCAATAATATCTATCCAATCACAACAAAGACAAAAAGAATATTAACCAATCTGATCAACGGAATATCACATGTTTAATTGTCAGTCTGAATACTAGCAGCTTACACAGACACACACACACACACATTGCCTGTCTGTCTGTTTTATTGTAGTAGTGAAATTTGAAGGTCAAACACAAAATCAGCCTATCAGAGGTATTTGAGAACAAGCTGCCAGCTACAGTGCCATATATCATGTCAATTGAGTAACGTGATGAAAGTTATTTCATTCAATCTCAATGATGTCACTCAAGATTATATCAGAGAAAGTGGTGTATTTTACGCAGTACATTTTGAACAATATGATCACACACACACATATTTACTTGTCAAGGGGTTTTTTATCTGAAAGGCGAAAAATGGAGTTGGTTAAAGCCAAATCAATTAGAAATATACAAGATTTTCAAGGTCATTGTAGAACCTCACACATGCAGGTACATTGACTGGTTTCAAAGTAGAACAAGTTGTGTAAATGAATAAATAATCCGGTGGATGCATCTGCACTACTGTGATCGATTCTTATCTAGGTCACCAGGGGTCAGTCCTCAACCACTGATTTCTTTCGTCTCAGGGAACCTAACCAGTCAGTTTACATCGCACCAGCGACTTCATTGACTAGTGCTACGTCTTGTTCCAATCTAATGTAACTTCCCCTAACATCGCACTTTGAAGTAGGCGACGGTGTCTTGGCATGCGGAGCAGATGTCCAAGCTGACTTCCTTGTCTTGTTATTAACCTTCATCTGACCTCAACATTCTTCACATGATGATACCACCAAGCTTCAGCAATGCTACGAAGACATCTGTTATCAAAGCCGTGTAACCATTTCATGTCTTCTACTTTCAACGACTATGTCTCACACCTGTATAACACGATAGAAAGGACTACAGTGCAGTATACTTATTCTTTGATAGATGGGCGGATATCTCATCAGACTGCTCCATAGGGGATGCAAGTTAGCAACCTGTCACCGTGTTCTGGCTGATGCAACTCCACATGTAAGTGAAGTGGTTGACACATATCACCTTTTCACCACGTGTCGTTAAACTGAGAGTACTTGCAGCCGACCAGTGCTGGAGCATCATCTCACATTTAACAGGTGCCAACGAAATGAATATCATCCACACAAACTTAGATGTCTGCTCAGCGCGTCCACAAGACCCTACATTTTGTCAGCATCTTGACCTAACAAGACAATATCCTCTGCCTACTCAAAGTCAATCGGATGACACCCTGTGAAGTCAGATTTACCTACGGTTATATCCATTAATACGTCTATAAGGAAGTTAAATGGGACAGTGGACAAGATGTTATTATTGCAGTTGCAAACCCTTTTGTCAATTGAAAAGTTTGGTAAATAGATTGAATGTGTTTTCCGCAATTCCCATCCATGTAACAAATCTAGATTTCCTATTTCATTATTAAAATGAAATTGTTGATCCTATTCTGTGTGTTCAATGATCAATTCGAATATTAATCGGCTTATTTTCTTTAGTTTCTCCTTGAGAAATGAAACTAGTACGTTTTGTGAGATGTAGGGTTGATTAATTCTTCTCAGATTGTGATTAATAGTAATTATAGTGTACTTTTAAAGATTTTGGTTATTGCTTCCATGTTCAGATCTGCGTTGATTGATGTTGATGTGGTGGTCGGACTTGCGTATCACAATGACCCAACGAGCTATGCTGGTGGAACGCTTGTTCCCTCGAGGTCCTACCATACCAGAAAGGTCTGTTGGATAGTGGTTAGACGAAAAGCAGTTACCGTTATAGTGTAAATTGCTACACTATGATGGGGGTCTGAGGGCGAAGTCGTACTGCTGCTAGCTGGATGGGGTGTGACAGCAGTAAGGTGTTTCCCTTGGATGACCAGCAGTGCCAAGCTGATGCTGCCTTCTCAGTGGAAGGGGGGGTTAGAAAAGGTCGGCCCCAAAAATAACACACTCCACCACGCCCCACGGTCTGCCGGGCCGGCGGTGTTGGTTCACTTGTCGTTTCCTTTCGACCATCCGGCCCCAAAAATACAAAAGTTCAAAATAATCATACTCAAAAGGCTGGGTGTGACAGGCCTCAAGCAGATGTCCGATGGGCTCTGCGGTCACACAAATCTCTTTCAGGTACCTTAAGAAGAAATAGCCTTCCACGGTGTGGGCAGCCGGGAAGTGTCAACCGCCCTCACAACTCTGTCAGCACCCAAGTTTCTTCTGACTGCTATCCTCCTCCTCCATCATTACCTTCTAATCTTCCTTCACGTCTCTTAATTAATGATGCTGCATCATCTTCAATTTCTCCTACCTCTGCAGCCTTCGACAACGATCTGAGTCCACAGAACAGCATCCCTGGTCTCCTTAAACCACGCTCCAAATTACATATTGGAGCCTTCAATGTCCGCACCCTCCGTCAAATTGGCCAACAGGCTTCGAGAAGCCAATTGGTCAATGTGTCATCTCTCGATGAAAGCGAAGTAACAGTGGTAACTCGGACTGTCCAGACAATGTTTGTTTACATAATCTCATCTAGTCATAGTGTAGTGTTCAATGGTTAGCTAAAGATTTTCAAGAAAACCCCATTCCTTATATACTCATATTTTCCAATTATTTAAATGTGTATATGTTGATTATCACTGTATCTCTCTGTCTCTGTCTCTCTCTATTCTCAAAGATGATTCATGGTTTGAAGTACCATTACAATCAGAACTGGATTGTGGTAATTCTTATCTTCTGCATGCATTATTACACTGCTTGCTTGCTTGCTAGATAATACTAGTAATCAGTTGATTTATTATGAAAATTCAACACTTGTGAATGTTTTACAATGTGTATATACATGTGTGTTATACACGCTTTGTGTCTTGATGTTTTCATCGCATTATCATTCTACCAATTCAACTTCTGTTACCCCCTGATAGTCGTATAACTTGTCTACCATCATTCACTTGTAATGTTATGGTACAATATGGTCTGATAAATTCTGATCAACACTATGGATTAGACAATATATGATTGATTACTCTCTTCGGTGCTAAATAACTCAATGGTGTCCACTATGACTATTACACACATATTTCAATCTTTGTAAAGAGATGATTTCCTTCAAGATTGTAGATATTACCTTGCTGATGAGTATCATCAAGTCCGAAATTTGGTGTTAATCAAGATATTCTGTCAACTACTCAACATTAAACTTCATTATGACGTTTCTCCAAAGGTTGACTAGACTTTGAGCAGTTTTTTCATCGTGTTTGAGTGTATGAAAAGAGAAAGAGAGAGAGAATGCTCATTGAACGGGTTATTTCATTCTATTTCACCACTAAGCTGCAATCCAACAGGTTACACATCATATCAGTTTTACTAACCTGATCTCATTGAGGTTACTGACTGATTGGATACTGGATTAGAGTTTAGTACAGTGTTTCCTTAGGAATTGATTGAATTTCAAGGCAAAGATAGTTTTTTTCAATGAACAAATTTATTTTTGCTATTGATAAGCTCCAGTTGGTCTGCATTTTAGCATCTTCCCAGTAGAGTAATAGGAGATGATGAATGGGTAGGATTCTGAGACCAGTTTTTATCTATACAAATACTCTGGTTTACCATTTCTGAAGATATAAATGTAAAACTTGAGCACTGTGATAGAATGTAACTTGCTATTAGAGATTTATTTACTCATTTCATAACATACATTGAGTGATATATAGTATATTACCTGTTGACTTGATGACAACGTTTCAAGTATCACTTATCATTGCTCATAATCATATCAAAACCTCGCCTAGTCTACTAGCCGATCCTAAGCTCGGATAAAAAGGGAAGGTTGATCGCAGGCCTACCAACCCTACAGCATAAAACCAATCCAATCGCTAAGGAAACTTCAAAGCACAGAGTAAATAAAGAAAATAACCTTATTCCCTGCTGAAATCGGGGAGACGAAATGACGCCAGTTGGTGAAAGCCTTCGAGAAGCCAATTGGTCAATGTGTTTTCTCTCAATGAAAGCAAAAATAAGCGGATGGTCATGGAATGTGTGCACAATGTTTGAGGCCAGGAAGGCTGTCCATCGTGCTGCTGAAGCCCCATGTTCCACTAGGAACCTAAACAACAGACAATAGTATTAGTATATTCATAATGGTGTGTAATCACACTAATTTAAATATTTGCTTTTCATAGTCTTGTCACCTGATATTCTTTGGTTTTATTGGTGTTACCTAAGTTAGAAGTAGTATTCATCATGGACTAACGTCAGTTGGGGAACCATTGAAAATCTAGGAACACTGGACATCTGTTTCATCCTAGTATAGGACTCCTGAACAGTACACACCCGCGACCCGGTTAGGGATGGAACTCATAACCTTCAGGTTTCACGGCTAACGTGTTAACCATTCAGCCACTGGGTCAGCTTTCAGTG